GTTTTTTGCATTATTCGCTTACTTATTACCCACCAGTCTACGGTGTTGGCCGCTGTTTTTTTTACTTACTTCTGACAAGAAAGCCTCATTTCTGCTGTTCAATACTGAACAAATGTAAACTTTTTAAAATTATGCAAAATTGCAAAATGCTGTGTCTCTAATCAAACCTCTGTAACTCTGCTAAAAAACCCGACCAGGAAAACCACCTTCATGTTTTTCTGTGTTTTATCTTCAGTTACTTCGACACAAAGGCCTCTGCTGTGATGCTCACACCTTTGATAAAGTCTCACAAGTGGCAGCTTTCTTTTTATATGTATAAAAATATCGATATGTACTGATAAGTGATCAGAATTATAATATTTCTGACTGTCTGAGGCAAAATTTCCCCGATTTAAAATTGAATCGAATTGAATCAAATCAATTCTGGACCTTGTGAATCGGAATTGAAGCGATTCTAGAAATCAGTGACGACCCAGCCCTAATCATCATCATCATCATCACAACAACTGTGGGGCCAAACTAAACAACCACGGGGAGAAACTTGCTCCTCTGTAGCTGTTTATCAGCAAGAAAGTGAGAAATAGGCTGAACATTCACATGGCTGACATTTCTTTACATTCACCTTCCACAACCTTGCATATATACAAATACACACAGAAGCCCAGAAGACTGACGTCTTTACAGCTGTCAGGGGTTTAGCACATTTTATCACACATGCAGATTTGCCTTCTTCCTGCTGCACAGAGATCAACACACACCATATCACATACATGTTTGTTCGACATACACTGTAGAGCATGCTTTCATTTTAGTACCAGACAGTCACGTGTGTGAGTGTGTGTGTGAATGGCAGCTTACCCAGAACCATCAAGACACATTCGTGAGAAACGCGACACAGTATGGAAATGCTGGCTTTCCCCAGTAAAGAGGCCAGTTTGCAAAACTGCGTGTGTGTGTGTGTGTGTGAATGTGCATGGTTCTGGGCTTTCATTCAGCATGCGAGCCATTCAAATCATCCACGAGGCTTTAGAGGAAGCTGTGGATGACAGAAGCTGGGTGACATGGAGAGGCAGGCCAAAGGGAGAGAGACAGAGAGATAAGAAAGAGAGAGAGATGTGGCTCATTGGCACATCTACATAATGGTGGAAGCGACTGAGGCTGTGCATACAGTGCGTGATAGCAGTTCCCATCTGTGGCAGTAACTGTTGATAGTGGGTCCTTTAAGCTGAGTGTGCGATTCCTGCAGGTGGACATCTTTCACAATATCACTAATAATGATCGTGACTGGCTGTTTGGCAGAATCATCCATTTCAAAACTTAGAGTGACTACTTTTACGTGTCAGTGCTCCTGTGTGTGACGCTAAGGTCAGGTTGTAATTTCTCTGTTTCACCACAAGAGGGGACCATTATCAAGTAAATAACCACAGATAAAACAAGAGGAAGACCACCAGGATACCACACTGACAAACAAAACTAACACGGACAGCTGGAGAACACAGACTTTCTTTTCTTCCATATTTTTTTCCCTAATGTTTCCATCTATATATAGGCAGCCCCCAAAATAATGGCAAACGTCCCAATCACATCAAAGGTTTGAAAGAATTGTGGGATTGTTCCAGCGTGTTGACACTAATCAGACAAATGTACTTTTCTCCTTCTTGCAGACGAAAATGCTGCATGCACAAGCAGCTAATCCACAAATGAACAGTTGTAAACATCCATTAGCCGAACCTACAGTTTGCGCGTGTGTGTGTGTGTGTGTGTGTGTGTGTGTGTGTGTGTGTGTGTGTGTGTGTGTG